TTGTTTTTTTTATTTTATACATGCTTGCTTTACACAATATTATTAAAGATTACTTTATACATTTTCGTTGCTATGCCAATGAATCCCAGTTATGATGAAAAAGGATACCAGATGTCACAAATCAGAAATTTATGGGCATTATGGGTAGTGTAGTAGCAGAGACTCACCTGACATGAAATACTGGCGGAAATAAAATAAAAGACCCCCAGAAGTGATGAGAACGAGAACCAGAATAACTATGAGAGCTTTGAGCCAGGATGGAAACCATTCTGTGGAGAAAAAAAAAGAATAATATGATCTTTGACTGAATGTCATTAAAAATGTAATGAGTAGACCTTTGCTTAAATCAAAGGGCCGACATGGTTATTCTGACACTGTTAAAATAATAAAGCTTCATCTGATTGATGCGACATGTATCTACAACAGCTGTTTGTTGTTGACCTTTGACCTGCAGCTGTACATCTCCCAGTTTCCGGTTGCCATATTTAAGGTCTGTAACGGAGCAGGTGTAGGTGCCGCTGTCAGACAGTTGGAGGTTGGTCAAAGTGAGGTTGAGGTCTCCAGTTTCCAGAGCGTCAGCCTTCATGGATGTTCGGCCGCTGTAACGCTGGTTTTGATCTTTCAGTTCGTCTCCTTGAAGCTGGCGCTGACGGTGGACGGTTGGAGGACTGAGGTCGGAGCGACTCCACACCACTGCGGGGCTGTCCAGTTCAAAAGTGGGAAAATCGCAGGGGAGCAAGACAAATGGCTGTCCCACATAAAGTTCCACAGCCGAGGCATATTGGGAAACTGAGGACACAGAAAGAGACTCAATATATTAATTTGACATTTGTTTCAGCTGCAGATAAAAATGTTCGGTGTCCACCAAAGGAGAATCAGCAGGACTGTGATTTTACTGCATTCTAGTGCACTTTCATTGAAACTTAAATACATTTTAGTTTCTCAACGGGCCAAAATAATAGGAACAGAAACAGACTGCTGTAATGTCAGCTCACACTGACTCTTTGTGTTCACTACATTTTTTTTTTTGATATTTTTTTATTACTTTTGCAACAACATACAAAGGTAGTTTCCAATAATATGCTGTTGTAATAGAAACCCTTTTCCCCCACCCTCACCTCCCACTCTGCTCTCTTCCGAACAAAGAAAAAAGAACAAGCTCACATGAAATATATATACAATTGTACGTGGCAATTTATACATAATTCAAGAGAAAGAAAAAAAAAAGAAGAAAATATAATCAATAAGAATAAACAATAAAAATAGCATGCACATGCTAAACAATTTCCTCCTACTCCACTCTCCTACATAAGTTGTTCTATATTTGCTACTTTTAAGAATTTTTTAAATGGCTTCCAAATTTCATCAAAATATATTAACTTATTTTTCAGAAAGTACGTAATCCTTTCCATTTCCATACACTGTGTCAAGGAGTTTATCTAAGCGCCAATAGCA